CTACCTATCCCCAAACCATTGACATGTGTATGTTCATTAGGTTAACAGAAGATTTGGTAGTGTGCTATATTTCCATTCAGAGCTCTAAATGTTCTAGCTTTTCCTGACCTGAATTTGACCCCATCCACAACATTCCTTGGAAACATGTTCACTGTAATGTGTAATTTTTACTGCTTTCACATGGCTAGCCCTAATATACAAGTTCTACTCTATTCAATCATAATATCAAATAAGAAGTCATTTTAACTCCAAATTTATCAAACTATTAATCTCTTCGTCTAGAGCTGTGGATCCTATTCTTTTACTTGTTGCTCAGGAGACATGTATTAGATCACAAGAGACTTCCAAGCTCTTGGAATATTAATGAAAGTCCAAACTCCTCAACATAAATAACTAACTGGCACTTAGAACAAAAACGCTCTTCTTATTCTGTTTGCATTTTTTTTTCCTTAGTACACTTTATAAAAGATAGGATACAAATAGTCAAAGTCAGGCAGAAAAAGTAGAAAAACAGAATATCTAGTTTGCTTTAATGGAGGGAGTGGGACTTTGCCCCTGTCTGAATAGAAGAGTTAGCCAACAGACAGAGGCCTTCTCCTGTTAACATTATGGATATCAGCCAAGTTTGCAAAGAGGTAGACAGTATGCCAGTCTAATTTTGACCAGAAGCCAAAGGGATGGACCTGGGGCCAAAAAGCAAAGAATTCCTCACTTCCCTAGAGATCCAAAGAGAGACACAAGACAATAACTTGAGCCAGAAGTTGGAAATAAGAAGACTAACTAGATCCACTACAACCTCTGAGGTTGAGAGGTCTACGGACTAAAAGAAAATAATGACAGGTGTGCTGTGAAACCCAGATTTTGAAAACTCCGCTATTGAATATTGTGAAGAGTAATACACCAAACATAAAACTATATGTAGTAAAGAAAAGGTTGGATAGCAGTGCTTTTTGTTTTATTTCGCTGAGATATTAGAGGTGATTTAGTAAGAGATTCCTGCCTTCACAATACAAATACAACCACTTCACCTCCTTTTTTGCAATTTGAGAGACTTAGGTGCACTGGGTAGGATTCAGGGGCAATATCTACCTTTGTGCTCTGGGTCTCATCTCCTCCTACTTTTTCAGAGAATTTGTTAGATTATTTTTTACTCCTTTCCTGTTAATTTCAGCCAATTTCTTCAGAATATTTCTTTAACATCTAAACACATTTAAGTAAACATATACTCTATCTTTAAAAATAGTTCTCAATTTTATATTCTTTCTCTAGCTAATGTCCTCTACCTTTCCCTCCCTTTAATAGCCAAGCTTTTTGAATATTATATTTTTTAAATTAAAGTATAATTGATACACAATGTTACATTAATTTCAGGTGTACCACATAGTGATTGGACAACTTTATACATTACGCTACACTTACAAGTGTAGCTGACATCTATGAGTGTAGCTACCATCTGAAAATTATTTTTTGTTTTATTTTTTTTTGTGATTTAATGGATTTAATGTAATCCAGTTCACACTTCAGACCACTGCAACCTGACCTAGCTCTTAATACTGTAAGATTACTTCCCTTTTAAAAGTAATCAAGAGTTCCTCATGATTAAATCCGATGAGTGTTTCTAGTTCTCATTTTTTATTTGATCCGCTAAAGCATTTGACTTCTTCTATCAACATTCATACATGTCACTCTCTGGAAAGAAGCTCACCAGGCTTTTTGTTTTCTTTCAAAGGACTTTACATAGTCAATTTGTATGTGACAGCAGTGAAAGAGAGAGTGCAGTCTGAGGAAATGAAAAAAAATAAAAAAAAGAAAAAGAAAATGAAATTTCAGGAATGTGGTATTGGATGGTATTCTTTGGTTGTTGGGTTCAGACTGCAGATCGAAGACCAAAAATCACTCAATGTATAAGATACTGTTGTGTCTCATTTCTAACTAGGAAGTAGTTTGACAATTCCAAAAGGAAGCAACTCATAAGAGATTTGTTCATTTCATTATACAGAAGTGACCTACACTTGTAGAACAAATTTTCCCTGTTACCCATTTTGCAAGAACAATGGCAATTTCTAGTTGTTCTCCCAATATTTCCCATTGATTAAAACTGTTCACTTAAGAATGGATAGCTAGTTACATTCTCAAATACATATGTCACTAAAAGTGTCATGATAATGAAGAATTATAAATATGCATTTTAAAATTTAAAAGTGAGTTTCAAAAAGAGAAAATAATTCAGATAATATTGGGGATATTGGAAATACTCATTATTTATGGAATAGACTATGAAAAAATGAAAGATAATTTGAGACTGGAGAAGTAGGACCCATAGAAAGTGTTAAAATTTTGAATATCACATTTTGGATGTTTTATTTCCTTATTTTAGAATTTCTTAAAAATCTAAATGCATACTTCTAAGAGGATAGTTTTGAAAAGAATATTTTAAAATGGTATTCGTCTTCATCTCTACTTCTTATTACTTCTCCTTCCTTTTGAATATATATAAACATCCACAAGCCAAAAAACTCTAAAATGGGCATGGATAATTACACTGGTTTCACATATTTGGTAGAAAAGAGAGAATAGGGGCCTTCTCTCATATGAGATGCAAATCAGAAAATATATGTGATTTAATGGCAGATTAGCATCATTTATTTTTATATTCACTGCATTTTGTTATTTTTAATAGAATTCCATTTGCCAGGATTTGGTTCCAAAATGTAAGTTATTTAACAGATATCATTAGGTTGCTAAGCATTAACACTTAATTATCATATTAATAAACAGTTATTACTCTCTCCTACACTGAGCCTTGCCTCTGCCACATTAGTATGCATGCACTGCTCTTAGGCAACTTAATTGTCCTTAAAGGAAATCATTACAATTTAAATGAAATTGGGAGCTACTGGTTAGGGAAGGCTGTAGGGCATGCAAAATACATACTAAACAAGGAACTGTAATTTCCCCAAATCGCATTTTTTTTTCAGTAATTTCACATCACAGCACTATATCTATTTGGTTAAGGGGAAAACAGTTTATTTTTTGCCTCGCAATTTTACAAGGGCACCATTTAACCAAGGACATGCAAGACTCTGGAATGGTAGCGAAAGAACTTGAGTAAATCAAATAATTTCTTTGCGGCTGGTAAACTGTTGTCAGCATTTGCAACACAGTCAACGAAGCAATAAAGTATAGCATGGTGGGCAGCCGTCAACCACCTCGTCTGCCTCTAGGACGGAGGGCAGCAGGAGGCCAAAGACTTTATGGAGACAGCTGTTGCCTCTTCCCATATGTGATTTTGTTTGTTCACAGCAACACGCTTCACATGCTGTCACAAAAATGGGGAATAGGGTCATTCTCTCGTGTCATGTTACCCCTCTCTCCCAGTTGAGAGCTCATTTTTCACATCCTCAATCCTAAAATGACTTAGTTTGGTGATAAAAGTTAAACACTGTCATCTGCTATTGAAATGCAAAGAATTTAAGTATCCCTGAACTCTTATTTCTGATAGATAATTAATCAGTGTTTTACACAACCTTAAATAGCTCTTCATTTTTAGTGAGTGACTCATGATGAAAACAAAGATTTAATTCCTGTGGGTATTTAGCATTTTCAGATTAATTAGTTAGCAACTGAGAGTTAACTTCATTAGTGTCCAACTTTGTGGGAATATGTAAGAGTGATAGATGGTAAAATGAACAAACACCCTACCTTTTCTGAAGTATACAAACAATAAAATAAGAACTTATAACAGTGAAATTAAACCACAGGACTGACAGATATTAAGGAATCCAGAAGTAGGCATCTACTAAGCTCATTGCAATTCATACCTTTTACCTGCCAATTAGAAATCTCCATTTTGCAAAATAGAAAACTGATCTGGGAAAGACCCATTAGCTTCACCTGGGTCTCATAGTTACTAAACGACTGTACAAAGTTTTAGATCCCAGGTTTATCTGCTTCTGCACCACATATTCATACTTGAGAACCTCACTATGAATCTGAAAAGCACCTATATTTTTGGCACAGACCATCCTATTACTTCTTGAATGGTCTATCAATGCAGAAAAAGAAAACAGATTAATTATTGCAAAAGATTTGTGGAACTTCTCTCTTCTCATACATCACGAGTTACTGTATTTTTCTGTGCTTTTTTATCAGGAGACATGCTTTCTGAGTGAAGGTCTATATCATGGCTGTTCTTCATAGTTTTATCTTCCTTTTCCGAAGGGAAAAAATAACCAAATTAGCAGGCAAAAGTGCGGCATAATGGACATTGATAGATGCGGCCTGTATTGTAAAGTTGAGCCCCATTTTAAAAATGTTTCCTTGTTTCCTGCAGTCCTTGTGGTGGCTTATTGAATTTTCAGACTAGTGATAGAAGAATTTTCATAACCTTGTGCTCTCTGGGAATGTGAGCTTAGGTACGATGTCTACCTTCTTGGAGTTTTGGGCTTCTTGATTGTAGGGTAAGAGTAATAATTCATACTATATTTATTTTACAAGTCTTAAAGGGGACAAAATAGATATTCATGATTTTTCTTTTTTTTGTTATAAAGCAATGGAAAAACAGCAATTTTTAATTTAAAAAATTATTATTATTATTATTATTATTATTATTATTATTTTTACTGAGTTGCCACAGTATAGGAAAAATCAGATATGGGATTTAGACTCAGAATTAGGTTGGAAGCACAAATACTATCTGATAATTGGACATTATTTCATCTCACTTAGTTTCAGTTATGGCATCTCTGAATTAGAGATTTGTAGGCTACTTATAGTAAGGATAAAAGGAAAATGTTTCAAATGTCTGGTACCTTCAGAATACCTGAAGAAAACAATACTAATTACTAACAATCCACATGAATAATCTAAAAAACAAAATAAAATTCCAAAAACAATGTTCAGAATTTATGCTTCGACTTTACAATTTACGTTATCAGGACCAATTTACACACCTACCTCCATTCACTAATTCCCACTTTCCTTCTCTGTTGTTTAACCAGTGAAGGATGTGGCCACAGCAACCTCCATTGTCTCATCACTCTACCTCTAACCACTGCTGGCTGTCCCATCTCTCTCCTGGGTTAAGGAGTGGTCAGTCTCCATTATTTCCACTACAGTGGGAGTTGGAGTAGCTCCGAAGTCCAAGTCCACCCACGGACGACACCTTGTATGGCTGGACCAGGTGAGTGACAAATCTTGCATTTGCTTTCTCTCCATGCTTGTTCCATATTCATTTTTACCTCCCTCTCCTATCTGGGGTTTTACCCACCAACAAAACATTAGTACACAAGCCTTAGTTAAAGCCACAGTTTCAAAGGAACTTGGGCTGAAACAATTGAGGGGCATTCACCCTAAAATGTCACTGCAGGAGGGGACTTTAGGCAATAGGCTTAACACTTGAATAAAATAGGACCAGGCTTTCTTGTGATAAGTGGGGCACTGATAACCCTTTGCACTCAATGACATCATAGTCATGTTTTCACATAAGGTGTAAGTATACAAGTGCAGTTGATCAGTACAAGGCCAATAATGAACATTAAATAACGTGGTATGACCTTTTTAATGGCTTGCAGACTTTATAAAAAGTAAATTGTCAACTTAAGGTAGGCTGTCAAAGCCAAAGAGCTTCAGTGGTAGATTTTAAAAAGACTTATCTTCTGCAGTCATTAGATAGACTCTGTTGAAAATCAGACCAAAGATCTGATTATGGGATTGGTAGAACTGCAAGAAAGTTTTTGGTTTTGTTTTTATTTTTTTATTTTTGTTCTTTTTAAACTTTTTTTCTTTAAAGATTTTATTTCTTTATTCATGAGAGACATGGAGAGAGAGAGACAGAGACACAGGCAGAGGGAGAAGCAAGCTCCAGGCAGGAAGCCCTATGTGGGACTCGATCCTGGGACTCCAGGATCACGCCCTGAGTGGAAGGCAGATGCTCAAGCCACCGCTGAGCCACTCAGGCATCCCTGGTTTTGTTTTTAAAGCTTCAGTAGGTGTACTATATCCAAGTGAGAGTCATTATCGTAAAATAATGCCAGGAGGTAGAAATAAATCCATATAAGCCAGAGACATTTTAGATTAGGGACATTTTTAGGGGTTCAGAGATCTGGGGAATTCAGGATATCCTGCATTAAGTAAAAGACAAGTTGTTGCTGCTCATAGAGCTATATATGTTAAGAAAGAGCCATTGCACTTGATAAACCTATTTACACTATTGATGCAACATGCACAGCCTTTGAGAATATAACTCCAAACCATTCATCAGGAGATTCTGAATGCTATCAGTATTGAATGAGGTTCAGAAATCCAGTCTTCAGTGCAGACTGTCCTGCTACTGTAGCCATGTCATCCATTGACCAATATGTGCTAGATATGGAATAATCACAAAGAGTCCCGGAGGAAAGCCATGTACACCATGGCGGAGGATTACCCTCTTTGAAAAGTATAGTTTGTCTGCACATGCCAGAGACTTTTATCTAAGTAACCGCTTTTGTCTGTGGACATGACCAAAGAACACCAAGAGATTATGTAACTAGAGCTTTCCACTATGCGGTAACTTGTTTTGAATTCAGCTAGTCCTAAGGTTAGGCAGGTGCTATAGCAATCAAATATTTAATAGAAGTGACACATTTAAGAGTAGGCTGAAGCAGATTCAGAAAGCACAAGTAAATTAAATGAACAGATGGCCCAGACTCCCTTGTCACTTACTTCTGTTTATCTGATGTTTATCCTTCTACTCACAACTATGTCCTTATGGAGGATAACTTTTGACCAATTGACAGAGTAAGAAAAGATTTAGGCCTGGCTCACTGATGAGCAACCACACTATGTTGGAACTATCAGGAAAAAAGCTGCTGCTATGTTCTAACCCCACTTATAGGTGAGCCTGAAAGATACCAGTAAAATTAAATCATGCCAGGAGACAAACCTGTGAGCAAAATACTCAGGCATCCATTTTGTATGGAGACATCACTTAATACATGGATATACCTAACACACTGTGTAGTGGATAATGACTGGAAAGAAATAAGAATGGAAGCCTGGGGATAAGGATGTCTGAAGAAGAATTAAATGGATGGGAGAAAGCACAAAGTATGAGGATTTGGTCTCTCATATTCATGCCCACCAGTGTGCTTTTACTGAAGAACAGGCTTTCAAAAACTAGGTAACATATGACCTATGTTGTGCATGTTAGCAGGACTCCCCAGACATTTCAATACCTGCAGAATGGCCCTATGAATGGAATAGCAATGGCGGCATAGCTGGAAGCTATGCTGAAATAGAGGTTATGTTTACTATGGAAGTAACTTCCACCAGAGGAAGCTTCACTGAAGTGAAAGTTGCAGATTATCACTAAGCCATTTTAGGCTCCTTATTCCAGGATTAGTAGGCAAGGAAAGAATTATTGGATTGCCTGGTAGAGTTAACCCTGAGTATCAAGAGAAGCTGGGGGTACTTTTGCACAATGGGCACAGAAAGGAAGATGTATGGAATGAATGAATTTTGACTTGACATAACTTGTTGCGTAGATGCAGCAAATTCAGCCAGATACAAGCAAGAATGTTATATTCAGAACCTTCAAGACATGATCTCAGTCACTTCATTACTTCACTACACAAGGTAGTGGTCAAAGCAGAAGGGGGTGGTGAATCTAGACTTTGGAAGAGAAATATCAGTTAAATCTTGGGAGTAGCTGCAGCGATGGAGACTCAAACATGGTTTGCTAACCCTCTGAAATACTTTTAAGAATTCTGCAACAAGCAATAAGTTACTGGATGATTGGATTTGTACCTCCATTCTCGATGAAGTTGTGTGGCAATCTTACTTTCGGATTGTTAATGGAGAATGTGAGCAAATCTGAGTGGTACAGTGGAGGGACTGTATGAAACCCAATTTATGTGCTCTCCCAACACATTTGCTAAGTCCCATTTGCCTCTCAAATTTCGATGCTTACAAAATGGAGACCCTTAGCTGCCACTATTGTCCTCTAATCTCCTAACACAACTAGCTGTCTTGGGAGTCCTTGAAATGACAACCTGACCTTCAGTGCACCTGCTATGGAGACAGCAGAGCATCTGCAGTGCCAGGTCTTGTCTTAGGGAACACCTAGGTATTCTCACAGCTCACGGATTCCAGGGTCAAATAAAGAACCTCTCTTGTGGGGGGCAGTGCTGGTGGTGGGTAATCTGACTTCCCCAGTAGCTACTGTCCATTGGTATCAGTAAGAACCTAGAATGGTAGCAAAATTCATACTTCATGAGGTGAACTTCAAGCCCTGAAAGATAGGATGTGAGAAGGAGTTAGTAGATAAATACTGGCTCTTACTTTTCCCAATATTGAACACCATGGGATATTTTCATATACTGATGTGGTAGTTTCATACCCTCTTTCAGAATGTCTTACATAAACAAGCAACTGAATGCTATTAATTGAAAATCAGTGGCCAGCTTGGAAATGGATCTTTCCCCCACTCCTTCCTTCCTTTAATCTTCCTGCTCCCAAATTCTATTGATTAAAGCAGATTCCAGAGCCAGCCTGGATTGAAAATGAGTGGAAACGGACTCCCTAATATGACAGGAGGAGTTTCATGAATATACAGCGATGGAAGGAATTCTTGCTAGGCAGCTTTCTAGAAAATTTGTCACAATACTTATGTCTTTCAAATTTACCAATTCTTTGTCTTTTAGTTCTAACATCTGGACATTAAAAAAAATTAATTTCTGGAATTTATTTTAAAGTTTCCATTGGATCCTTAATATTTGACATCAAAATTTAAATTTCTAAGTATTTATTTACTTGTTTTTTAAGATTTTATTTATTTATTCATGAGACACAGAGAGAGGCAGAGACATAGGCAGAGAGAGAGAAGCAGGCTCCCTGCAGGGAGCGCAGTACAGGACTCGATCCCAGGACCCCAGAATCATGACCTGAGCCTCAGGCAGATACTCAACCACTGAGGAACCCAGGTGTCCCTAAATTTCTAAGGATTTGTTTTTAGTTTTAGAAAAATTCCTTTTTGGAGTATGCTGTTCTTTTTCCTCCAACTTAATATTTACTTTTTCCCTTATAGATGATGGAGTAGACATTCTCCAAAATGAACTTTGATGATTCTTGTCTTCTGGTATCCATACCCTTGTGTAGACTCCTCCCATGATGAATAGTGATTACACAGTATGATGAATAGAATACTGAGAAAGTGACTTTATGACTTTTGAGGCTACCCTATAAGAAATATAGTAGTTTCTGTGTTGCCTTCCCTTGGACCACTTGTTCTGGGGGTCACTAGCCACCCGAGTCATAAGGACATTTGAGTAGCCCCAGGAGAGAGCACATGGGGAGAAACTGAGGCTTCTTGTCAAAAATTAATACGAACCTGCTAACCTTTTGAAGGAATCTTCCAGCCTCATTCAAGCCTCTGAATGACTAAAGTTTCAGACATCTTAACTGTTATACCATGAGAAATCCTGAGCCAGAACCACATTGCTAAACCGCTCCCAAACTCCTAACCCAAAGAAACTATGGAAGATAACCAATGTGTTTTTTTTCCACTAGATTCTCTGTTTTATTATAGAATCCCCTCTTATTCTTAACACTTTTTGACTTTTTAATGTTACTTCATTAGTATTTAGGGAGAAAAGGAAGAGACAGGTGTTTGATCTCTCTACTGGTTGTTCTTTTTTTTTTCAAGATTTTATTCATGAGAGACACAGAGAGAGAGGCAGAGAGCAGGGTCCTCGCAGGGAGACTAATGTGGGACTGGATCCCTGGACCCAGGATCATGCCCTGAGCTGAAAGTAGAAGCTCAACCGCTGAGCCACTCAGGCATCCCCCCCCCCCTTTTTTTTTCCTCTACTGGTTTGAACTAGAAATCAGCTGGAAGTTTTATTGTTTTAATTGAGATAGAGTTGACAAACACCATTATATTAGTTTCAGGTGTGCAACAAAATGATTCCATATTTGCATATGTTGGGAAATGGTCATCACAAAAAAAGTTTATTTAACATTGTCATCATACAAATTTTTTTTTGTTATGAGAACTATACTTACTCTCTTATTTTGAAATGTGCAATACAGTATTATTAACTATAGTCACCATGATGTACATCATATCCCTATGACTTATTTATTTTATAGCTGGAAGTTTGTACATTCATACCTCTTGATTCCCTCACTCATTTATTGTTA